CACACACACACACACACGCTAGCACAAATTAGTCTGACGAAGTACGCGCATATATTTAAGGCTAACGATGTATGTACCTAACTAACCTTATATATAAAGCTATTAATTTATATATTCTCTTCTTATAACATTAGTAATTTTTATTTAATTTAATTTTTAATTATACTACATATATTTAAATTAAAATAGTATTAAATATTATTTATTATTATAATAAGAAATTAAAGACTATGGAGGAATTGAACCTCATACTAATGATTTGCAATCATAGTGTAAAAGCCATTTACAGCATAATCTTGACTTTACTGTTTTAAATAAAGCAGTAAAGTAATGCTTATTCCACTTCTTGTGCTACGAAGTCAGCATGAAGAGCTTGCTATGCAATACGAAATAAATCATTTATTTCAGTTTTAAAGGCGCTAATCCGAAATATAAAAAAGATTTAAATTTTGGTTGCTTCGTCAGAAGCTACTTCACGCCGTCTATATATATTTTCTAGTTCTTCTTTAGTCATAGTAAAATTAACTTTAAAGTTAGGAATTATAGGCTTACCTATTTGTGCATACTCTTGTTGAGTAATAGCCATACCCAAAAACATATCTTGTGCAATATGCATATCCTCACGTGTTAAGAGACTTCCTTTACTTGTTTCTACAAGATAAAGAATTTTGATATATGAAAGAGTATCAAAATTAGCTTTATCTAAGAAATAATGTGGATCTTTTTCTTTAATCCTTAACATACAGTCATACGCCTTTTGACGAGTATTATGATAACTTTCTTCAAATCCTTTAAGTTCTTTTTTATAATTATCTACCATAGTATTCAATTCTGTTTTTCTATCATTATTTTCTTTACTCTTGGAAGATTCACCGTTATTATCATAATCATCTTCGTCACAATATAGAGGAGTAATTAAACCTTCAACAAGCCCAAGAAAAATAAATTTAAAAATTATAAGAATAGAACCTGCAATAATAGAAGATAAAAAAGTACCTAAAAATTCAGTGTCTAAATATCTATACACGATAAAATAAACTAACTTAAATATAATCATATAACTAAATGCTCTTATTATATTTTTAAAGGTGAAAAACTTTAAAATTTTTTTTATGCAGGCAAAGCCTAGTAAGTAACGTTTTAACATTTTTTTTT